CGGATGGAATTCGGAGGAGGCCTACCCTGGGACGCAGGGAGGGAATTGGCAGAAGGCGGTCTCTCAGATAGCCAGATCCACTACCATGGAGCGCTTTATAGGCGGTAAGTAAGACCTTGAAGTGCACCCGACGATCAACAGGTAGCCAGCGCAGCTCACGGAGGATCGGTGTTATATGGGCGAACCGTGGTGCGCCCATGATCACTCGCGCGGCCGCGTTCTGGACTAGCTGAAGTCGCCGGATGCTCTTCAAGGGCAGCCCCATGTAGAGCACATTGCAGTATTCCAGCCTAGAGATCACAGCCTAGAGATCTGGTACATTATCCCATTTCATTACTCTACAATTGAATTCTAACCTACACTATTTGGCTTAAAAAATATTGAAGCTGTATATTATTATCTAGCTAAGTGCAAAAGCTACAAAAGAAAAATACTTCCAGAAGTTTGGTCCTCACCTTACCAGTCAAAACATTTGATGGCTAAATTGTCATGTCTCTCTCACACAAATATACCAATAGATTTTGTGACGAGAAAGAAAGCATTGGGAATGGAAGGATATAAGTGGAAAATACCACTGTCCAAATACTGTACTAGCCATCCGTCTACTAATTTGGAAGTCTTGTTCTATTGCAGAATAGTCATAGGTAATTATTTCCAGTGATAAGTTTTGGAGAGCAAGGAACATCCCAATACCAGGCTCCCTGCAATCCCTAAGGTAGCTTATTCTGTGCCCCCAAAACTAGTCTGTTTGCACTAAAGAATGTTATTGCACTGTGAGCACTGAAGTAGAATTCAATTGTCAGTTCAACTTGGATGCTGAATGCAGTGATGTACGTATGGGAGAGGCTCAGAGACACACAGCCAAATGCCTTGGGCTGGCTCAGTAAATTCAACAATTTTTCAGGTAAGGGAGGTGTCTAGAAGTTCATCGGTCAGGTTATTAATCCCGCCTCTTGTACCTAATCATGCCTTAAGTGATCTTCTTCCACACTTCTTGTGATGATTATGATTTTAATACAAACTGTAATATCTAATGTTGGTGGACCTGCCTTGAGGGTTTGATGAGTTACCTCTGCAAAAAATTGCTAATTTGACATAGACAATGGTATTCTACAACTACAGCACTAGACACCTTGAATTGGATGCAAACTCTACTTTGCTTAGAACTTACTCGGAGGTAAGTATAAATAGACTTGCAGCCTGTTTAGTTCATTAAACATTGCACAGGTATAGTTGGTTTTACCCTTTCTCCTTTATCTCCACGTTCTCCCCTTGGTCCTGGTTCACCTGAAGGTCCCTGCAGAACATAATAAGAGCATTCACAACCCATTTTTAAAAGACCTCTTTTTCAATACATGTAAACGAGATAGCAGAAGACGCCCCTACCTGTGCTCCAGGAGGGCCTTTTGGTCCTACAACCTAGACCAAAAAAGAAAACAAGAAAAAGAAGAAAACATACAGAAAATCAGTTCAGTCAAAGATATATTTTGTACAGCGAGGTTTTAAGAAAAAATAGAAAGGGATTCATTAAACTTGAAACTTACATTCTTGATATCACCAGGTTCTCCCTTTTGACCCTGCCAGATACAAAATATGTAAAATTAGGGGATGGGTGGGACCAAGCATCCCAAGCCAGTCAATTCACACATCTTGAATTCTAAATCTACATTTTTAACTTTCCAACACTACAGCAATAGATAGCCTGTGGGAACTGTAGGTGTTAGAGAGTATCCAACCTCCAATTTTGCAACTACGGTATGCATAATTTTACCTAAAACATGAACAGACTTAGTAAAGTCACTAAAATATTCATTTGGTTGGAGCAAAGCAATTATATCATCAATTTCAGTAGGAAGCTGTCAGATTGCCATTCACATTCATAGCCAGATTCTGTCATAATTCATGATAACTATCTACTGCATCATTTGGTTTTGAAGAGCTGTCTTCTCCCTCGGGCTGAAGTCAAACCCCAAAGAACATGTAGCCACAACAGTGCTTTTTATAGCATCTCATACGGCAGAGATTGGCTTTTGGGGGACCTGGTGATAAGTAATACTTGTTCATTTTTTTAAAAAAAGCAGATCGACGAAAGTTATGAATGACATATTTTAAATTAATAAAGCTGCTTACTGAACAGCAACCAATGATGCAAGTCCTTGTTGTGCCTCTAACATAGTTGGCAAACCTTGGGGTGCTAACAGACAATGGTGGTTATTAATAGCGTTCAGTTGTCTTACCTTGGGACCAGGTTGCCCTGTTAAGAATGAAGGAGAGAAAGAGAGAGAAGAAGAAAACATCAGAACTATTTTGAAAACAGGACTATATATATAAAAATGAGTTTCACAAATGTCCTCAGTCTGTTCATTCATGAAGCATTTGACAACACAGAAGACAAACTTAGGGTAACCTGTAACTAGATCAAGGAAACAGACAGGAGAGCTTTATTATTTCAGTGCTTGCCTTTTTTCAAATCACTGCTCGGTGGGAGATGCTGATGTCCCAGGAATACAACAGGCACAGGATTTTTTTTTTTACACTGGGAATGTAAGGGCTGATGCAAAGTAACAAAACAAGCGAGTGTAGAGAGAATAATAGTGTTCTGAATAATTCATTGCAAGCCATGCTAAAGCAGGCTAGCTAACTTTAATTCCACTTTGCCCACAGGAACTGCAGTTCAGTTTTATCAAAGCAATGTTGTCTATTTTAAAACTGTGTCCATTTAGGACTTTCTTCCACGTAAATTTGCATAGGATGGAAGGAGAGAACGGAGAATCCCACGGATTGGAGGAAGTTGGATTCCCAAAATGTTTACAAGTTTGTTTACAAGCAACTTCCCAATGAAATATTTTAAAAAATGAGTGAAACTCACCACCATTAAACATGGTTAAATCAATCAAATAAGCAAACATTAGGTTTGAGGGCGATATGTAGGCTATTAAAAAAAAAACAGATGCATGAGGCAAAACACAGAGGTTAAAAGCCAAACCAGCTTAATTGCAAACAAACAAAAAAAAAAACACCAATGCACAGAAAAAACAGGGTTAACTTTTGCAGCTCTCAACCCTTTTACTCCTCCTGGCAGTCTCCCTGTTACTTTGTTTCTGATGCTTCCCTTTTAATTAGAGGAGCCTCAGACAGCCAGAAGAGGGGAAAGGGTTAAAAAAGGCCACTTCTAGTTACAATTCCTCATCTACTGTTAAGACTTATTTAAAAACTGCTATTTTTGAAACTGAAAAAGTGGTTGCTTTCCTGACATTGCTGTGGAAAACAGGACCCCAAGGCAGCACAGAGGTGAGGCAGGGAAGCCTTATAAATCATCTCCCAAACTTGAGGTATGAAAGTTAGGTCATTCTTTTAAAGTTCACACAAGGGGAAAGGTTGACCTCTTGATGCTTGAGGCCTCTCCCCCACCCCTCAATTAATGAACCAGGAATTCTTTACCGGGCTTTAAGGCTCCAGAGAGATATAACATATGGGAGGAGCCAGAGTTATCTGCTAGGCAGGGGTGTGTGTTTGTGTGTGTGTTTGTGTGTTGAGTGCAAAAAGTAAAAAATGGCAGCTGTGATCATCCAATCAAAACTAATATCTTGACTTTTTTTAGCTTACTCTCGTAGATTTCTCGAGGCTGAACCATACACGTTTTTTGCTGTGACCAAAAACACATTTCACCAAAAGGACAACTGCTATCTGCTTCTCCTGCTTTGTTGATGTGCCCAGTAACTCCCAAATTACTAGAGCATTTTACATCCTTCCAAACACTAGCCTTCAGTAGGAATGCTAATCAAAGAGGGAAAGTTGAAAGGCACTTGTGTTCCTCATACTTGGCCCTTATAATTTTTTTACATAACTTTGATTGGCATACTAAGTGAAAGCTGTTAAAGCATAAGGCAATGGGTACTGTTTAGAAAATGTGTGCCAAATACACATTGTTATTAATAGGATGTACCGATTAGCTGCTTACATACGCCTTTAATTTTATTAAACATGGGTACACTAATAAAATACTGCATTTTATTAAAGCACTATATAGCATCAGCATCACTTTTTTAATGGTAGCCACAAGCTGTGATTTATGCACATAACTAAATTTAGATATTAAGAATGAAATTCCCTGTCCTTCAAAAACTCCATGGAAAAGTTTTTGCCATCTGATACCTGATATCAATACCTGATTAGTCTTTTATAGGGCTATAAAAAACCTTTCCATTGTCTAGGTCACCCTATAAATTCTGACACAGAAATCACAGTTCAACGTTGTGTAGTGGAAGACATATTTAGCATTAGGAAGCTTCTTCCCACTTCCTCAATGTTTTAAAGCAACAGTAAATGCAAACGAAAAAGTTGGTGCCATAGTTGTTAAAAACCTACTTGCTGAGGAAAATTTTTGAAATTTCTAGAATGTGTCTAAAATGCCTGCACTGTTAATAAACGTATTGGCTGTCTTAGACAAGTTAATAGTTGATCAACAATGCTGCCCATCTTCTTCTGTCATACATTCATGGTTCAATTAATTAATCTCTTCTACGTCATAAACACAGATTGAGGAATTGTGAGAAGTAGCCTTTTGCAGCAATTGCCTTTCATGGATGCGAAACATCTGAGAGTCACATCCATGGTTCTTATTCATCTTTCTTGTTTGGTGCTATCATCTCTCAAGTAATTTATTTATATGAAATAGAAATAAATAAATTACAACCACTGGCGGTGGGCTGATCAGTAGGACATATAGGGCAACATTCTCCGAAGGGTATCTCAGGCCTGGGACAGTCTCTCATTTCTTCGCAGAGAATATCGTCGCAGAGGACAGTGCCAGTGTCACAAACACAGATCTGGCACGGTTCGGGTTTCCACACATCTTTATCACTATATCTCTGCCCATCCTGTACACAGCTGCCTGCCTCCTCTGTGCCAGAAGGAAAGGGAAAGGAGAAAGCAGGTTAAGAGACAAATGCAGCAGAAACCAAGAGCGAAAGAAATAGCAGCATTTGTGCCAGTGATACAACATTGACCTCCGTTATTCCCAACCGGCCCCTCTTCAAGAACATCTCATCAATTTCCCACAGGTTACGATGGCATTTTGCTATTCGCAAATAGAGGAAAAAGGCCTTTGGTTAGCTGCTCCCAACCCCATCCTCACTTCCACATAAGTAGTACCCATAAATTTATCTCAGGGTTCCTCACAACAATGATGATAACATTCATGGCCAATCATCTGCCCAATCTTCAGCAATGTGCAGGAAAATCAATTGAAACCATCCATGATAGGTAACTCTCCAGACTTAAAAAAAAACAAAAAACCCAGAGATGGAGAATCCAGAACCCTCAGGTAAACTGTTCCACTGATACAAAAATTTTACTGTCAGGAAATATTTAAAACAAATCTAGGTAGCAGCAATTTGTTTATTTATAGGCTATTATTTCTGGTTCTAGTTTCTATAGCTGTGGAGAGCAGTTTTGATCACTTCCCTTTAGTTTCCCTTTATGTACCTGAACAATGGTTATCGTGTCTGTCCTCAGTTTCCGTTTCTCCAGACTGAACATCCCAAGTTGCTTCGGCATATCTTCTTAGGAAATGTCTTACAAATACTTGTATCATCACTTTTGTCTTCCTCTGAAAACCCCTTCTGGGATTGCATTATTCAAAATCCTAGATAATACCCCAGTTGTGATCTTAGCAGTGCTGAATAAATCGAGTATCTTTTAGGGTTCCTTCCTACCAGCTGTGTGGGCTCAAGACACTTAGCACATCAATTTTTCATTTATCCTCACCATTAGCTATCTGAGGTGTGTTAGGATGCTATAGCCACCCATGAGGCAAGACAATGCTTATCTGTGAAGTAATGGCTTGGGTAATAGCTACCTTCAAAGTAAGAGCCAGGATAATAATTACTTGCAAATTAATAACTAGGGTACCAGTAGTAGGCATTTGTGAGATAAAGGCTAGAGCATTAGTTATCTCCGCTACAAGATAATGCCTACTTGACCTAACAGAATGTATTACCCAGTGATTATAGTTATAGAGTAATTAGGGTAATAGATTCCTATAAGATATTGCTAGAGTATTAGTTACTTCCAGGGTAACCACTAAAGTAGCAATTGCTTGCCCAAGAGTATTCCTGCATTGTATTTATTACTTCTTGCCACATCAAACGTATTTTGCTTGCTATAAATTACTTCTTGGGTACAGTGATACCAACTTCATAAAAAAATACCTGGCAAGCCTAAAACCTAATCACAGATGTATAAGTTGTGTTTATTCTCAGTCTTAGCTCAGCTATAGTAGTTGCCCCCCTCTCTCTCTACTGCTGATCTAGAGTTCCCTCAGTCCTCACTCAGCAGACCTTGCTGTTTAACAAACTGTCACTTATAAACAAGCATAGTCTCATTTCATGGTGGTTTGAAGAGCCACTTGGCTGAACTGATAGTATTTCTGGTGGAAGAGGTTTAGGACTTAGAACAGTTATATTGGGCCACATAATTAATTCACTTTGCAATCCCTAACACTAATTCATGGCTATAATGGGGGAAGGGAGGATATTAGAGGCCACCCAATTTGCTCTAGCCCCTTTCAACCTGCATCTAAGAAACAGCAGTGACCTGAATTAATTCTTGATAACTCTAAGGAAGAGTAAAATGTGTTTTTCTCATTTAAAATGTGGGGGGGAGAGGGGGAGTTATTAGGCAACAGAAGACCAAACTAATGTCAGATTGGTGGATATAGCGGATGGAGAGTGGTGGAAGAGTTCAAACAAGAAGGCAGAGGAAGACTTTGGTGCTGTAATTTAAACTTCAGATTAACTCTTTCTCTCTGTCCGAAACCCCCGCTCCTTAGGTTAGTGAAATAGAAATTGTATTTCATAGGGAAGAGATCAGAAAAAAGTATATTAAAAATGCACCTCATTTGCACTTGCATCTCTTCCCTCCCCCTCCTCCCCTTTTCTTTAACTTCTTAGCAAAGGCCTGACAGCAGCAATGATATGACAGGGGGGGTATTGTGCACAAGTCAGCAGAGCCAGTTGGAGCCCAAGGGACCCTCCACTCATGAATGGACCTTTTCTCAAATGCACACAGAGTGCAATTCACATTGCTCCAGTAGGGACTACTTTAAATAAACATGGGCAGCCTTTCAGCATCTGGAAGCTATTGCTGCTCAAGGCAAATAAACCTGCATAAAGCAAGGATTCAGCTTACACCCTAACCTTGGAGAACACTTGTGGGGGGGGGGGGAGATCAGTGTGTAAAAGAAAAAAAAATGAGACTCTCCAAATAAGCACCTGGATTAAAAACTTTCCCCTTCATGAGAATATGAAAATATGCTTTCAAAAACCCAAAAATAATAATTAAATGATATTTGCCGATGAACACTTTGCTTCTCCTGCGTGTTTCTGAATCTCCAAGCCACAGTGCTTTAATCACGGCAAAAGATGTGAGAAAAGATGCTAAACTTAGAAAGACTACACTTAACACTCTGCACACCAGCTGATTAATAAGAGAAAGAGCACCTGATTGTGATCGGGAATTACAAATCGTCTCCCAAGATTCAGTGTGTTTCAGCTACTTTCAGCGTGCAGTTGCCCTGCTTAGTTCACAGAAAGCTTGTGCCTCTTAATAAAGTGTGTTAGTCAGAAAAAGTGCAACTCCTGGTATTTATTTGTTTTCTGATCACCACAAACTAACACAGTTCTCCTACTCGTTTCCATTGGTCGTCCCCCGTATTTTCCCAGCTTGTTATGGTTGTTAGAAGCAGAGAGTAGACTAACTCCTCAATACCTTTTGATCTGTAGGGCTAGCAACCTAGGTCAGGTCCCTTTCTTGAACCACCCCGAGGCAAAGCAGTGTAAGGCTCTTTCTCTTACCAACTCAAAAGACTCAACTGCAGAGATTATAGCATATTAATAGTAAAAAAAAGAATTAGACTCTTTCTCTGGAATTTTGCACTGGGAGAAAGCAAGGCCCAAGATCAGGAGTGGGGAAAAAAGGAAATTCCACCCCGCTTCCATGATTATAATCCCTGCAATTGATTTAATATCTGGAGGAAAGGATGGGATTCAAACAGAAGAAAACCTGCCCAAAATATAGGAAGGGAGGAATTGTTTCCACCCACTCAATTTTCACACTTGAATAAAATACTGCAAACAACAAAGGCTTTCTCTGAATGAGCGGCAGAAAAAGGGAGAACTTGGCTCTAAATTTTGTAATGATTGGGAGGGAAAGTTGATAAAAGCTTTGGAGAGAAGAAGGGGGGGTGGGGATGGTTATACACAATTCCCTAATACACAGGAAGGATTCCCATGCCTCTAAGTGTGTGGGGGGAGGGGAAGAGTGAGAGTAGAATAAATGGACTGATGTGCCTCTGGAATGTTTTGTACCCCTCAGGTGGCCTCTTTTGAGTTGGGGAAATTTTTCCTCCTGTTCCTTCAGCTACCCAAAAGAAAAAAAAATCTGTTAGCTATCAAATTCCCCATCTGCACCTTACTCCACATCCCTAACTGAACTAGGGGAGAGAACTAGATCTTATGGATAAAGATCTTTCTTTCTGATTTCCCCCCCCCCAAATCTTCCTGGTATGTTCTCTTTTGTCTTGACCCCCCCCCTCAATGAGCCCCTATACAAATCATTGAAAGTTAACCCTTTCATTCCACCAACAAGAGGTTGGAGGGGTCATTTTATCCTCTGTGAGTTGAGAATATGACTTTTTACCATACTGTTTTCTGGAGATCTTTAGATGAAGGCACATAACACTTTAAACACTCATAATAATAGTAATAACTAAAAAAAAAACTTTATCCCCAGCTCACCCTACTTGTTTTTGAAGGCCCAGAGAAGAAACGGTACAGCATTTGAATTAGATTGTGCTAAGTGCAGCTCTTGTTTTTGAGTAACCAAGCATTACAAAGAACAGATTGGGATTTCAGACTAATTATGAGGATGGAACAGCATCTCTCTGCACAGGAAAGAATTTGAGGAGCCGAAAGAAGAGAAACAAGTGCAAGAACGCGATGGAGGGAGATTAACTCAAAGGAGGAAGTTTAATTGTACAAATTTGCAAGTGAATTAAAAAAAAAGTTTGCTTGTTCTCCTGACTTTCCCCCCTCCCTCTCCTAATGTATTGTTCCCCATCAACTTGCTTTCCCCCCTGTTTTCTGGACAAGAGAAAGAAAGGTGTAACTTACCTTTATCCTCATTCTGACAATTGACAACTTCTAATAAAATTACTTGAATAGCTGCTAGGAGCACCAGAGTCCTTGAATCCAGAAAGCTGAACATGTCTAAATGTTAGACATGCAGGACCTTCGTGTGGATGAGAAAGGAGGAGGAGGAGGAGGAGGAGGTGATAGTAAGTGGTGGTAGTTTCCCCAGTGGCTACCGAGCCTTCATGCAGTCGATCCTCCGCGGTCTTTAAAAAAAAAAACAGCAAGAGAATCCAAAGTAGCAAAAGGCCCAGCAGAAACCTGGCTAATGCCGAGGGCTCTGGGCTGAAGCACCGCGGCTGATGCTCCCCTCTGCCTTCTAGCAGCCCGTGTATATGCCCAGGTCTCAGTCCTCCCCTGGCCCCCAGCTGAGCTGTAACCTGAGCTTTCAGCCTTGTCCCCTAGTTAGAGACCCCTCCTCCTGATCGATCTCAAGTCCAACTCCTGCAGCCAAAACGGGTGGCAACCAGACGAAAGGGAGGGGTCTGTGGCCCTCTTCCCTCTCCAGCCCCGCTCCATACAGGCACACTCGTACCATCTCCCACCCCCCCCCACCTCCCGCTACCGCTTCGGCGGCTGGCAGACCTCATATGCAAATCTCCATCATCAGCCCCGTCCAGCTCTCGCTCTCCTCTCCAAGGAGCAACTTCGGAGAACAGCGCGCGGAACTCTTGAGCTGGGAATCTGGCTGGGAGCGCAGCGGCTCAATGGGACTCTCGGGGTCGGCGTGACTTCCATTTCTCCAGAGTCTCCCACTTTTTTTGCATCCGATTTTTCTACAAATCGGGAAGTTGAGACCGATTACTTTACTTTATCCGGATTCTTAAAGCAAACTTGCCTACGCGATACGCGCGCAGCATCAGCTAGGTCCGAAGAGAGCGCGCTTTGCCCTCCCCACCTGTTGCCTTCTTTTCCCGAGAACCCGTCCGCAGCATCCCCTTTTCTTCCCCCTCTCAAGATGCTTCAACCTCACTTCTTCCCTTGCGTACTAAATATACCCCGCCACTTTTAAGACGTGTGTGCTGTTTAAATCCTCAGCCCACGAATCGTTTTCCCCAGCTTGGCCCAAGAAATCTCTCCTGTATTTTCCCGTCGTGGTTGTTTTTCTAGGGCCATCCTCTCCGCCGCTTAACGTGCAGTAATTGCAGGCTACTTCTGCTGACTGCCGGCTGCCTGAAATTTAGCAGTTCGACTCTCACCAAGCTCAAGGTTGACTCAGCCTCCCATCCTTCCGAGGTGGGTAAAATGAGGACCCAGACTGTTGGGGACGATAGGCTGACACTGTAAACCGCTTAGAGAGGGCTGTAACAGCACTGTGAAGCGCTATATACGTCTAAGTGCTATTGATGACGCTGATTAATTCAACTCTGAATTAACGCTGGGGAAAATGGCTTGGGAAGGTGGTCTGAGTTTTGACTACCTCACCCCCACCCCCATGGCTGAGATGATCGAGTGGCTTTTCCTGAACTGAGGGGGCGCAAACGACCAAATAGGCAGAATAACCCCCCCTTTCCTCATTTCATTCAATTTCTCCCTTCCTGACCCCTTTTCCCTTTCAGAGGAAGGTATGAGAAACATACTGGCTAATGAGAGCGATCCCCTCCCTCTCCCCCGTCGCACACGACGATACTCGCTATCCCAGCCCTGCCCGATCCCTCTTCCCATTATTGCATCGCCATTTCCAGGGAGAGAAAAGACGATCAAACGTAAATGGCCCCGTAAGTGCCCAAGATGGGAGGAAAAATTGGCTGTGAAGCCCGGGCGTGAGCCTTACTCAACAGTTAAGAAGTCCCACTAAATGTAGTAAGGCTTATATTTGAGGCACTAAGTTTAGGACGCAGCCCAGCAGCCCTTTGATGGAGAGCCGCCTTCTCCAGCGTTAAGTGCTTCTCCCATGTCCCGGCCGAGGAGACCCATTCCCGGTTTCGGACATAATACCCAGAGAACAATCTACAGTAGCAAAAAAAAAAGAGCGCAGGCGGACAGAAGGCGGAGCTGCCAGCTCCGGCGGGACACAACGCATCCAGCTGCGCGCGCAGCTTAGCTGGCTTGGCTCTGGTTTTGCGGCGCACGTGGCTCGAAGCTTGGCGCCCAGAGGGAGGCCAAGTGGCAGAGAGTTTGTGCGGCGTTTAGTCAAGCGCGGGTTTGTTTGTTTTTTGCAGATGATTGCGGGGGGGGGGGAGTTCCCAACTGGAAGAAATTTCCGAAGAGGGAGGGAAATAGAACCTCAACAGGACTGGACAAACCAACGGAGAACCTAGTGCATTTTTTGCCAGCTATCTGGGAGACCAACTAGTTGCCAGCAAGGTTTTGTGTCTTTGGGCTTCTTCGGAATAAGCATAGGTTATTCCAATTCATAGGTTATAGTGAATAGTCATTCCGAGGTTCCGGTAGGCTTAATGATAAGTCCAAAATAGACAAGCTTTCTGCCTCTGTTCTGAAAACGGTGAAATAACCTACCTAGTTGCAATGTAATTTCGCTCAGCTGCATTGTGTTTAGTGTCGTTTTGTTACCAGTTAAAATAGTTCATCTCCCCCCCCCCCAAAAAAAAAGATACAATAAGCCTGGAAGGATAGCTTTACTTCGTATTTTGTGCCTATGGAGGGAATTGGATGAAATCCAGCAGGTTCTCACAGGTTCTGGAGCAAATTTTGAGTAGTTCGGAGAAATGGCAAATACCACCTCTTGACTGGCCCCAGAGTGGGGGGGGGGATGAAGATTTTGCAGTTTCCTTCCCCTGCCACACCCACCAAGCCATGCCCACAGGACCAGTAGTAAAAAAATTGAATTTCACCACTGGAGGGAATGTAGTTCAGAAGTAAAAAGCCTGCAAAAAAGGTAACTGTCAAATCCAGACACCTCCAAACGTCAACTACAGTGACAGATTAAGGCTTACTGGTGCCCTAAGTCAGTGTTTCTCAACCTTGTCAACTTGAAGATGTCTGGACTTCAACTCCCAGAATTCCCCTTGAAGTCCAGACATCTTCAAGTTGACAAGGTTGAAAAACACTGCCCTAAGTACTGACAAATCTTGGTGCCCCCCTCCTTTATACATACTGTACAAATCTTCGTTGGTTTTTTTTTCTTCTCAACTTTGTGGTGCCCCCTTGGGTCTGGAGCCCTAAGCCTTGCTTAGTCTGCTTAATGGTTAATACACCACTGGTCAGCTGGTCCACAATGCAGCAGTGAGCACAGTAATGGGTTTGCCCATGTAGCACCTTTGTTAGGGAGCTGCGCTGGCTTCCAGTTTAATTCTGGGTGCAATAGAAGGTGCTAGCCAGCACTTTTAAAGCCCTAAATGGCACAGGACCAGGTTATCTGCAGGACATCTACTCGTCCTACCAGATCAGATAAGGTGGGGAAGCTCCCTAGACCCACCCCTTAGGCATTGCTATCTCTGTTGGGCAGACCTACACCCTTCTAGCCTTCTGTAAAACTTTAACACCTGGCTTTCCCCCCAAGCACTGGGATAAGATTGGATAGTTCCACATTAGAAATTTGACTTGACGCCAGGTCTTTGTTGTTTTTAATGTTTTAATCTGTTGAGCTTTATAGTTTTGTATGCTTTTCTATTTGTTTTAACGTTTGGGGGCTGCCCAGAGTTACTTAGAAGATGGACAGCTATATAAATGCTTTATAAGTAAATAAATAAATGTTTTAATTATACTTGTTGGGTTAAACCCAGTTAAACATAAGCAATTACAAAATTGGCACCCATCAATTCAGGGTTTGTGTGTGTGTATAGGTAGGGAAAGATGAATGAATAGAAAAAGAATGAGAAAATAAATCAGGATACATTTATCTCCTTAGTTAAATATCCGGTATCAGAGATCAACATAAAAGGAAACATCTTTGGTTCTAAAGAATAACTGAAAGGATGCCATCTAGAAGTTTTTTTCCTTGCAGAATAATTGATTAAAGTTATAGGAAAGCATATAACAATGTTCTTTTAAAAAGATTCTTAAGCCTATGAATATCTTAATAATGGAATAAATTGCTCATTGGAAGTAGTGAGCATGCTTTCATGGATGTGTTCAAGCAAAACTGTGCTGCCATTTTGTCTGGGATGCTTTAATTTAAATTCCTAGACTCAGAGAGTTGGAGTTTGTGGCCTAAATGGTCTGGTTCAAGTTGCATAGAATTTTATGTAATAAGTATCTTTGAGTGGCATAAATTGGAAGGAAATGCACATTGTATTATATTTCCTTAAAAATAAATCACAAATGCTTGGCAGGCATTCATTCTACAGATAGAAGGGATATCAGTACCTGTTGACTATTGCCTAAAAATGGTTAGGCCAGTTTCTCTATTAATTAACCCTGAGCTCTGAAATATAGTAACTTGTTCAGTTAGTGTTCAAATATTAGGATACATTTCTGTTTTTCTACTTACTTAACATCCCACATTTATTATTTTCAGAAATACCTGAAGGCAGTGAACGAATCTAACACATCTACCTCCTATTTTCCCCGCAACAATAACAACCCTGCGAGGTGAATTGGCCTGAGGAGAATGACTGGCTCAAGGTCACCCAGGTGACTTTCATGGCGAAGGTGGGATTAGTCTCCTGCCTTCCAGCCAGGTGCCCTTAACCAATAGACCAAACTGGTTTAAACACCATACAGAATTTTAAGGCAAATTCTCCAATTCCTTCCTTGATACATCAATCTCCTAGTTTTGTGACTCAATCTTTTTTCAAACCAGATACAAAACGGCTGTATGTACTCTCCAAAGCATCCTTGGGAAGCGTTGTATTTTTTTTAATAGGACAGCAGTTAAATGAACAACATTTAATCCTCACACTGCCCTCACCAGATGCTTTTTGGCCAATAACTGAAATATTTCTTTGTAAAGAAGCAGCTGCCTTTGGAACTGATCTTATGTGAATGGGAAAGTGGAGATTACATTTTTCTTCCCTGCCGTTTCCTCCCCAAGGAGAATCCAGGCTCCAGAGTGCATAATTGACACAAAATTATGTGATTTATGAATTAATGCTCCAAAGCAGAATTCTACTAATTCAAAGGCATTGTTCCTGAACCTTAAGATCGGTTAAATTTGCAATATATCAATACGTG